TCTCTCTCTCTCTGTGTGTGTGTTGATCAGCATCTGAGGGGGACTTGCCAAGCACAAAGGCAAGAAGATGTGAGCGCCGAGTGAGTCAAGCCATCGCTAGCTAACCTGTCTCATCACTTGGTGAGCTGAGCAGTGCAGTGGTGCCAGCAGGCGGACCCAGCTGCTGGGGGATGACTACCTAATGTCACAACCGTCTCCAAGCTGAGAGCCACAAGGCCTCCCCGCTCCCAGTGAGAACAGAAGACTGAGGGCCCAGACCAAGGCCTCGTTGGTGATGATGGATGTGCAGGTGGCTTTTAAACCCCGGGTGGAGAGTGAGTTGGCGTAGGAAGCCAGCAGACCTAGGGAGGTAGGTATTGGATCGAGGGCTCAGAAATGCCTGCTTCCTCCTGCTGTGTTTATGAGAGCTGATAAGAGGACTTCAGAATCTGGGGGCAGAGCCTTGGAAAAGGATGAAGGCGGGTAATCAAGCAGGGAGAACATTCCAACCTCATTTCCCAGGGTTTGTTAGATGATATACTGTTGTCTTCTCTGGCCTTGGAATTTTTCGCTTTTCTGTTTTCAACCAAGGCTGTAAGATGTGTTGTGAACTCTCAGGTAATGTGAAATCATCATATGTAAGCAGTTACCAACCAGACATGTGTTTACATGTAGACATATAGTGAAGTCAAAATTTCTCTATCCAAGAGAGTAGGGTAGAGTAGGAATTTTCATATATAAGAAAAGTATTGATGGGCTGGAGAGACGGCTCAGGTGGAACATTGCCTTCTGTGTCAACACAAGGACTTGAGTTCGGATCCCCAGCTCCCCCAGAAAAGCCAGACACGGCATAGTGGCGTGCATCTGGAACCCTAGCCCGGGGAGGTGAAAGGGCAGGCCAGGCAGATCTCTCAAGCTCATTGGCTGGCCAGCCAGCCTTGCTGAATGAGTTCCCGTTCAGTGAGAGACTCAGTCTCAAAAAATAAGATGGAGAACCGTGAGGAAAAGACCTGGTGTTGCCATCTGGCCTACAGGGCTATACACATGTTCCTG